ATAGTCAATACATCCTTAATTAATAATACGATTCTTATGCATTGACGAGCATCACTGAAAAATAAATAAGATACATTCAACGTGTCTGTGTATAAATATTATATAACTGTTTGCAGGGTATAAGTTGATGCAAATTGCACCGGGCATTGGTTACATCTAACCCGGTTTCAAATATCGAGTTTCCCACTCGAGGATTACAGATTTTAATTTAAGTAATAAAATTATGCCATCAATCAAAGCTTGCTCCAGTAGTATGCGTGCTAAATTTTATAACACGCATCGCAACTCTATCGAGGGTAATGCCAATTTCGACATGATTCGTAATTCAATTTACAAAGTTTAGCGAAAATTAAGATTAACATCAGTATACAGGATGAGCCAATGAATTATTTCAAGTTATTTACTGAGTCTATTAAAAAATCTTGCAATTGTTGAAATTTATTAAAATATTAGAATTTAATGCTTTATGAAACAAATCGAGAATTGAACGAAAAAGGCTATGTACGAGATATTCTCAGTGGATTAGAGGCGTATTGAAATCGAATATCGGCCTACTTTCAAGGATGTTGAACCCTCTTATAATTCGATAAAACCGGGTGCAATTAGAACTAGCAACGGGGTAACAAGATATCGTTCGTAAATAATTGAATATAGGAACTGCTTGACGTAGCTTAATCCGGGCTAGCCAACCGTTCACTATGTGAGTATACACGTACACAGGAGCAAAGCCAATTTTTTTTAGAAAAAGAGAATAATTTATCGTAGAAGAAAACAGAAATACGGAGACTTCTGCTCCATTTATGTATACTTCAAATAGTAGAAAATTGTAACAATTCACTCAGTCAAGATGTTTTAATGAAAGTGATTATGTAATTAGTTCTGAGATATCAGCCCGAAGGAAAAAGAGAAGTTACTCGAGGAGCGTGTAACAAATCCTAAGCTCGATGTTTGAACGTGTAAACACGATTCCACTCGAGAACCAGCCAGCAACGTACCGCAAATCCCTTTTCGCTACTGTAAGGGCGGATGATCGCGCAATAAAACACTGGCATAATGTTTCGGGCCGGGTGAGCGAGCACCGCAAATACACCGCAGGTTTATTTTTCGAGAGGGTATGTAAGGGAAGGAGTGCACCCGGGGGCCACCCCGGGGGGCACCCATCGCCACGGATTATCCTCGCTACATTTCGTCCCTTCTGTCGGCGCGTATGTTCCATCATTACAACTTTGTTCTGAATGCGACGCAAGGGGTTGTTGCGAGGGGGCTACGTTCGATTATTCTTTCCACTACCTGCGACTAATCGGCTGATCCGTTTAACGGTGTCACCGTCGTTTGATCTGAGCCAGTGAAAATTGGCTGCCTTGATTGACCTAGTCACTCGATTTTCGAGAAGGAGTTTGATAAGAAAATAAAGTTTATAATTTATATCTTGTTTCAATGATCTTCAGCAAATTCTTGGAATCGTTGTACATAAAAAGTATTTTTTGTAAATACGAAGTACTTCTAATAAAAAGTGCAATTTCATAATATTAAACGATGAATCTAATAATTGTATTATGTACAACATTTTTAGTTATTTTATAACCAATTTAATAATTGCATTACGTGTTACATTTTTTTGGGTAGAAATAATATAAATAGCAAAGAGAGTGGTCATCTGATTAAAGTAGAAATTTGCATGTAGCTGAATTTAATGAGAAAACGCAACAAAGGAACTGTAATCTAAAGCAAGGAAAGGAGGATGGAAGGAGAATTGGTCTAAATTCTGTTAAGTTTGGCAGCCAATTACTTTTGATACCCGACACGCGCGCATCCCGTCGCGTCGTCGTGTCGGCGAGAGGGGTAAATAATTCGCTAATATCAATTTCAAATTTCAATTAGTATCATCTCTCGACGTCTGGCTCCCCTCTTCTTCTCGGCGGACCATCCCCAATTGAAAATTCAATTTGTCCCTTAGAGAGGCGGATGGAAACCGCGGAACTGAGACACAGAACCGAGGGTCTACGCGCCGTTCAAAAGCTCTGTAGATATTTGTTTAAACAAGATAATCGTTGAAATTCTAAGCTCAATTCAAATCATACGAAAATAATTATCATTAATACATTTGTAATTTTCTTACCTGTGTTACGACAATAAATTTAATCTCGTCTGATACCTAAATGATCCTAACAAATACGTGCTCTCATGCTTTGTTCATAAAATAAAATCTTAAGTTTTCTCAAGTCTTAATGCAATCTTGATTTGTTATCAAGTTCCAGGGACGATGCGACTTGTTCAAATCGCTTTTAGTAAATAGATGAAAAACTGGCTAATAAAAATGGGCGGTTGCAATTTAGTTTAAAGCTCGTCGGGTTGCGTAATCGCGGGCACGCGCATGCGTTGCCGAGTCCCATTATAAATTGATAAGCCCGCCGTTTATTAAGTTCCAACGACCGATGCCTGCTTAGGCAAAGAGCCCTCCCCCCTGAACGCGTGCATTATTTATTTCACGAGGGTTTACAATCCCTTTAATGGGGATCGGGCGCGGGTCTTTGAAAATTTTTGCTCGCACTGTACGTATTAATTTCTAAATGAACGCATAAACATCAATGCCAAGTAATAACCATCGTATCGCGTGCTCTTTACCTTGAACCAGAATAAGTACACTTCGCTCATAAAGAGCGCATTCCTTGCCTGACGGAGAATAAGTATTAAATTGTAACATAATTCATTAGGAAATTAAATCAATAAAAGCTTTTACGTTCGCAAAAGTGTATTTAATAAAATATTATCTTAAGCTGTTGTTTAATAATTAACACTACTATAATTATCAATTGTCGCCGGGAAATTAAGGGCAATGTCGTTGTAGATCGTCTAGAGGTACCGACAAGTACTCTAACGACATCTGATTCGTTTTCCCGGAAAAAAATCATTCGATGACTCATCGTTGCGTAATATTCTGGTTGCAGATTGGATCGGTCCACACTCATCAGCCGAACAATAATCACCAGCACCACACGCACCATCAGCAACAGCAGCAGCAACAGCAGCAACAGCAACAGCAACAGCAGGTGTCGGCGGTAGGAGCGGGTGGAGGAGGTCCGGGGGGTGGTACGGTGGCCAGGCCCGGGGGCATGTTCTGCTACCACTGCCCCCCGGGCCTTCCCACCCCGCGTTTACCGCCATCCCTTGAATACCCGTTCGCCGCCACTCACCCTTGTAAGTACATCTCAATTTATATTTTCTTTCACGTTTGCCTCTTCATTTTATTTCAAAATTTTATTTAGAAATCGTTAATGTAGATTAGGTTCAATTGTTATACGAGTGAAATAATAAATAAAGTATATTTTTTTTATTAATGCATTTGTAGCCAGTTGTCGATGTAGGAGTAAGAAATCGAGAACGAAGCAAGCAAGATCGACAATTTATTCGCTGTTTTATTATTCAATCGTTTAAACAAATTGCTTAACGCGTAATTCAGTCTCGAAAACAGCCGCGACACATAAACGAGATTCGACTTGGTAAAGCGATCGAACTTGAAAGTTCCACGGAGGGCGGGGTGGACGTAAGCTTCGACCGGAAGTTGGCTGCACGGAAGAGAAGTGCAAATTAAGTTTGGTAGCCAGAACCGACTGGCCAGTTTGTGTAGTAGCCGTCCACGTCCACCACTTTGCGTAACTCGGTCTGCTATACTCGGTAAATGGTAACTTCGTCGATGTGTTCCAGGGCAAGTGCCCGGCACAATCAATCTAACCCGCTGCCTCCCTCCCATTCACTCTCTCTATTTTATTTCTTCTATTTTCATCCCTTCGTACCTCGATTTTATCGGCCGAATCAGAGTTACGAATTTCAGGACGAATGTTAGTTTGGGTGATAAGAAACGCAAGCTTCGCATTCAGTTCTCAAATTAAATGTTAACTATTTTGTGGTGGACTTTAAATTAGAATGATCCATTTCAAATTTTAATTCAGCACTTTAGAATTGGATTTATATTTAATTTTTTTTTATAAATATTAAAGAGATTTATTTACATACAAGGTTTGTCAATTTGATATTGAAATTTCGTTAAGAAGAACGATAGCTGTCGAGTACACTGGATCAGTGTAGAAATCTTGAGAGGGTCTCCACTGCAGTAACTCCAGTTTTATAGCTAGTAAAATTCGAGGGAAATTTTAAAAAATTCAAGCTTCATTCGTTCGTAAACTTATTACCTTCTTCAATAATTGAAGATTAACTCTAGTTTCGCGAGTAACCGTAAATCTTAAGCGGACACATTTCCATCATCGTAACGTCGATAGGGGTGGCGTTTCAGAAATTGAATTGCTGCCTCGGTTTAAAATCCTCCAGTGAAACTGAGACGGAATATCTAGTAATAAAAAGTCGAGGGGTGGTGGAGGAACATAATAGATGAAGAAACGTAAGATCATGGGTGGAGTGAGATTTTTTTTGCGAGGGTAAATCGAGAGCAGGCAGTACTCGTGGGACACTGAGGCACGGAGGGATACTTTCTAATGCAAAATATTTTTTCAATGACACACGACGCAAATTCAAACAAAAAATAAAAGCTAATATAGCCTTATAAAAAATAATATGACTGTCATACGTCACACTGTAGAAACTCATAAAAATAGTATATTACATACATAGAACATATTTACATAAAAAATGATAAAAGCTTATCGAAGAGTTCGAGTGTAAAGGTTATCGTTGAAAGAAGCTCGCGTGGGTTTCTAACGTTTGATAGAAAAGCAGCACACGGTAGAAACGAAACGAAACGAAATCTAATGACAACCCCGACCGTAACTAACGAACGCTAACGAGGCTAGTTAGATGTTAGAGAGCGAACGTCGGACCGAGTGGAACCCACTTACCGACTTATCACGTAGTTACCTAATCTGTTTATCCCAACGGGGGGTGGGCCGAGGCCGAGGGGAGCTGGAAGGGTGCGCGGACGTCCCCGAGGACGTCTCCCCTTCCCACCGGGCCCCGAGATCATCCAGCACCGTTTCCAAGCACATGTGCGCGAAATTATATCCTTGCACAGGGCGCATTTGCTTTTCTTTGAGAATTTCTCATTCACGATTATAAGTTTATCAGCGTAGAATCAATATTCTTGCCTACTTTCCAGTATAACTATTTTTAGCAATTAGTATAATGAATATTGCGATTGCATCTTATTTTATACAATGTGCAACGAATTGTATTTGCTATTTTATTGATGGTTGATTGAACGAGATATTTTTTATTAAACAATCGACAATTAATAATTAATACAATTATTATCGATCGCTTGTAAGAAAATGTCATCCATCATTTTCTGAACATCGTGACACTCTGGTTCTCAAACAAATCACGCAGTCAGTCGACAAAGACCCACTCGAACGGGGTGAAAGGAAAGAAAACATGAACCTGACAGAAAGGGTTAACGCTGAGGGAGGTCTACTCGAGAGTACAATGAACGTTTTAGAACGGGGCACGTGCCGGGAGAAGAAGGACCCACCTCATTGTTTTTACCTAGGAAAAAGTCACCGCGCCGGGACCTTTTCTTCTTCGTTTCTGCACAGTAAATTGGATCAAGTCCCGCCCGATGAGTTGTCCCCGGCTAATCCAGGAATCCTGAGTGGATTTCGGTTTCTCGCGGCCCGTCGATAAATTTATTTACTCTGCCACGAGCCTCGCTCGTTTTTTCTTTGTCAATCGTGAATAAAATCGTCCAACTACTATTCTCTTACAATTAGACTTCAATTTTAAGTATTTAGAATATGAAATCTAAATACGTTCTATTTTTACGTATTAAGTACGATTTTTTACAAGGATTTTTTATAGCATTTTATGTAAGGATTTTGTATATTTTGCCGGAGTGGACGAGAACGAATCAACGGGTCCGTAATTATCGCGTTTCATCGACAAACTTCGTGATGGCCAGGTTGCATGAATTTTTATGAGCTTAGGAAATTAATTTGTGTTTTTCGCTAAGCCGGGGCTTAGCGCCCGTGGTAATTAATTGCGCTGATTGCTCTGCATCATTGATAAGCGGTTCTCTCCCAGCTCTCTCTCTCTCTCTCTGTATTTCGTAGTCCCCACCAATCTCCCCTCGACGAATTGTTTCAACCCCCTCTTGTCTGCGCGTGCCTCGACCTGCCTCCGATTTTTCAAATTTCTGCTTGCTGATTAATTAAACGTCCAACATTCAATTTTTCCATTCTGAATTCAGTATTTTTTATTAAATATTCCTATGATTATGTGTCGATAGATATAATGGCGTATCATATGGAAAATCTCTATTAATTCATGAATACATTCAATCTATACGATTTATATTATATTAAAACGTCTTTCTCAATTCATTAGTAAATGGAATTTATGTAATTTACATTATTCCATCATATCGTTGAAAATGATGATTTTTCTCATTCTGTAAACATAACTGTAAAAATTGAATACCCTCCCTACATTATTTGGGAGAGGATAAAATCAGGAGGGATTTTTGTTATGAACGATTCAATTTCCCGCGAACGGTTATTAAACGCGAGGACAGGAGGCAGGATCGATTCGCCGCGCTGCGGCAGGGGGGAAATTCGATTGCAAACTGCATGCATACTGCAGGGGACGCTGCCGCGAAATCCTCGCGAAACGATCGCGATTAATCTTGCAGAGGCTGGTGACATGACGCGACGCAAACCGACGCGACGGTGTATAATTGTACCCGGGGCTAGTTACAACAGAAACCTTCCGTTTCCGGTTTTGCAGTAGAACACTAAATTGAATTCCCGAGTTTTCTCTACGTCCATTTCTTCTGCTACCAGGGGAAATCCAGTGTAAAAATTAAAAACCACGGTGATTCACATTTCACAAAAATTATGTTAAATTTTTATAGTATGTATTATAATAAAAGTGAATATAATATTTCATGGTAATTCGTGTGACAACTGTTTTAATTATTAAATATTCAATCACGTAACAATTGTTATGATTTAATAAAAGAATTTGAAGGGGGGAAAGAAGGTTGAGCTGAGAAAGGGTTAAGCGTATTAAGGCACGCGTGATTTTTTCCTGATTTCAGACACGAGTTACACCGCGTATCATCCGGCTCTGCACGGTGTGGGTGAGGATTCGCTCGTCAGGCGAAAGCAGAGGCGAAACCGTACCACGTTCACCCTTCAGCAATTGGAGGAGCTCGAGTCCGCGTTTGCGCAGACACACTACCCCGACGTCTTCACGAGGGAGGATCTCGCGATAAAGATCAACCTCACCGAGGCCAGAGTTCAAGTCAGTACCCCACAATTTTTTTTCTCAATTAAACCCAGATTTTCATTTCATTCAATCATCGCAAAAATATTCCCCTATCATGTAGATTCTATTTATTATATTTATCACGCAGTAAAATGATTTAGCTGATAATTAATTCTATTCTTAAAATTTTTATCAAAATGCCAGTTCATGGAATTGAATAGAATTATACTAAACAATAGAGCTTAAAAAATTAGATAATAAGACATTAAAAAAGTTAAGATAAATTGAAGTATGAGACGAGAAATATGTATGTTATCTGTTTCGATTCGTGCGAATGAATCCAACGTTTATTAGGGGGTTCGCGGAGTTTGAGTATGATCGATAGTTTTCGAATGGTCGGCGATATACGAGGTAATGGTAAGAGGCAAGAGTAGAGCAGCAGGGGGTGGTGGTAATGTCGGGGGCGTCCCGGGGGAGGCGCTGACACCCCCGACCTGACGTAATCTTCTGACAGGGTAAGCCAGTAATCTCCGGGATTACTTTGTACTCTTGGCTACTACCTACCCTACCATCCGTATTTACTCGCACGCATCGTAATTCTCGCGTCGCCTCGCGGATTCTGGATACTAAATCCTGTTGGAACATCTGCGGGATTCACGATCTTTAATCCTGATCTTTAATTCTCATCTCCCTGCCATATTTGCCCCAAATATTTATTACCGAATACCTGTGCATGCGTTCATAGAAAATTTTTTTAGCCCAATTACTCGTCATTAATTATGCATCATTTTATATATTTTTACATTACATTTTTATCACACCACGTGTACATTTCGTGTATTAAATATTCGAAGTGCGTGTGTACAATTGTTAGAAGGTTGAAATTGGTTTGACGATGAGGGAAAAACAGGCGCGGGAAACGTGTAGGAAACGAGGAGAGCCGAAGGCGGCACTCAAAGCGGTGCTTAACACCTGGATATAGGTGTAATTGCGTGTACACGGGTACTTAGATGGGCTAGAGAAGGCGTGCATGTTCAACGAGCAACCGCGGCTGCCAGCCGAGTGGTTTTTCGCGAAAAAAAGGAGCTCGAGCTCCGCTAACGAGACCTAACTTGACATAATACAGACTGGAATAGACTTTATACTCGCAGTTCCCTTCTCTCTCCAATCAAATCTTCGCCACCCTTGTGTATTCCAATGAGACAAATCATTTTTTCCTTGTCATCTGCCTCGTTGTGACACATTTTGTTTTGCTGTTCTATGGTCTTCGTGATTCAAAGTCATTCGAAATACAATTTGATTTGATTCTTTGCAATTTTCTGTTTTTAATTTACGATATATAGTTTCTAAATACTTTGCTACATAAATCAATTAGACAGATTTAATGAAACAGCGGCAAATCCATATTACCGAAAGCCTCTTACTACGTTTTATCATGTTTCCATTAAAAAAGAAAAATGAAAATTTTGCTTGCGAAGTAAGCATATTAACGGGGCATGTAATCCAATGGCAGAGGGCATCGTTATTTCTCCACTCTGTTCCTCTCGTCGTTCTTCAGCTTTTTAATCGCCTGACTTCTCTTTTTAAATATTTGTCGTTAATAGCATTGCCTCGAATTCTTACCTAATCCTTTATCACTTGCCCCTCGAATCCGTTTTTCTATTCTCTTAGTAATCC